GAAGGGCGGCCCGTGTGACTTAACCAGCGATGAATGGGTCTGGTCCGTAACGCTGATACAGATTGGCTTTCAATTAACAGTTCATCTATAGAGGTCGAATGCAACTTCACGCGCGAAGGTCACTGCTGCTCAGGCGATCGAGCAAATACAATTGATTCGTTACTGAGAGCAGGCGACGGTTGAGCCGAGGCAATACAATGGTGGGCATTCCAATACTCTTCGCCCTGGTTACCATTTCATAATCGCGATACCGTATGGCGGGTGACGAGCCAATGTTGCCGAAGAACAATTTGTGCTCATTACCGCGTGCGACCGACCTGCTGCCGTGCCACGTGGTTGAGCATCATCACAGGGCCGGCCGTGAACGAAAAATACGGAACAACATCTGGGAAATGCGAGCGTTACCCGTTGTTCAAACGCACAATCCCCAATGACAATGCCTTAAAAATAAAAATAGATATAATAGGTGACGTTTCGGTGCTATGGCCCAACCCAACACGAATATTTAGAGTTTATTATGCTTTGTTATTTGTGTGCTGTGCACCATTGCCAACGCACAAGTATCAACGCGTGCATTGTTTTAAAATGTCGCGCCGGGTAATCGAATCTAAGCGGCGACCTCTGGGTTGTAAGTCCAGTGAGGTGACCGCTACACCGCGACAACCACCCATCCCTCGCTGCATAAGTCACTCGCGTTGTTGAACTACTTACTGGATTAATACATCGTTGTACTGAACAAAGATTTTCCCTCCCACCTCGCCTTGCGTATAACCTACGCGGCATATTGCAAATCTCATTTTCGGAAAGCGGTAATGAATCGCAATGGGTCTCTCTCGCCTGCCAGAACACGGCAATGATTGATCAATTATTCCAAGGCAGTTCCTTAACAATGCTATGCGGATATTGAATGCAATGCCAGTGTACCCACGCTCGCAGTCGCCCTCGGCCAAAAACGTATCATTTACTTTATGTACCCCCCCCCGCCCACACCAACCCATACCCGTAATTTAAATGAAACCATTTGCGTAGTTATGGCTATCGAGTGTGCAGGTGGTGCAACTGCACCAGGGCCCATAGCCGTCGGTCCACAAAGAGAAGGGGGCGAGTGGGGGATATAAATTGGACGGGTGACCCCATATGTAAATACTTGTACCAGGGCCCATGTCAAGCACGCGACGCTATTGAACTTACACAGAGACCCATGGACTTACACAGAGACCCATGAACTTACATAGGGACCCATATATTTACACGAAGACCCATGAACTTACATAGGGACCCATGGATTTGAACAGAGACCCATGGACTTACACAGAGAGCCATGGATTTGGACAGAGACCCATTGACTTACACAGGGACCCATGGAATTACACAGAGACCCATGGACTTACACAGAGACGCATGGACTTAAATAAAAACCCATATATTTGAACAGAGACCCATGGACTTACACAGACACCCATGAACTTACACAGAGATCCCTGGACTTACACAGAGACCCATGGACTTACACCGAGACCCATAGACTTACACAGAGACCGATAGATTTACACAGATACCCATGGACTTACGTAGATACACGTATGATGTGTGTGCGCGATGAGTGGTGAGCGTTTCTATGGTCAATTACGCACACACTCGCCTTCACCACCACCCTCCTTCACAGCCGTACACACACTGCTCACCCTTTGATACGACTCTATCCAGCTAAATCTCGAAAGACAAAGATCCAGCCGTATAGCTTTTACAGACTGTTGGGGCAAGTGATGTTAGCGAGCACCACCTATGAAAGCCCGCACGGTACACGAGGGAGGTGGGGTGCATAGCAACACACCCGGCCACCTTTGTTTCTCCAATGCTGCTTATTACACGCTGCACCGGATACTCGTTTAAGGCTGTGGCTGAGTCAACACTCACGCACACGTACGCACACAAAATGCAAAGATTCGTCCGCGTAATCTTGTCGACTGTTTGGAAGCAAGTGATGTTAGCGAGTGTCTATGTTTGATGATCGAAACAGCGCTTGAAAGGGAGATTTCGTCAGCACCGCATTACGCCCGGCCACCTTTGTTTCCCCAAGTGCTGATGCTCACGCACCGCATCAGGTATTGCCAAGGCTGAGCCTACTCAACGAAGTCCAACGACCGGGTCCAGGATATCACTCGCCGTTGCTGATAGTCGTGGCCGCAAATGAAAACTCGACTCGTTTGATTCCGAGCGCAGTGCGTGGATAATTGCGTCACCACTCATCACGCTCTCTCGTGTTCCGAACTCCGCTCATCTTCAGCTCCGCACTGCATTGCCGTCTCCCAGTGTACACTCGCTCTCGCATTTCCCTTCCCGTGCACTCTCCGCCCCCTTATGTCCCCTCGCACGCACCCGTCCACATCTCCCTCCCCACGAACTCTGCTCCCCAAGCTCCCCTCCCACGTCAATCCCCCTCCATCACAACTCACCTATTCCAGATTATCTTTCGCAACATCACTCACAGTTCAGCTGCTCCTCCCTTACACCTCACCCATCTATATCCCCGTTCGCTGCTCTCTCCTCTCTCCTCGCTCTTCTTCCAACCTGCTCACTCCACACCGTCTCTCTCTCCCTCTCTCTCTCTCTTCCTCTCCCCGCAACACACCTCACGTACCGCTCTCACCCTCCACCTTCGTTGGGACATTTTACATTGAACGCGTGGGGTCGAGGGAGTCGCAGTAATGAGAAGGAGCACGTGGCCCCCCTCCCTCACTCCCTCGCACACGGGGATGTCTTGACGTGTGACCCGTCAGGACTTCGTGATGCGGCACACAGACCTGGTAGGTTTACACAAACGAGAGTACAGGCGAAATACATACAATGAGTAAAGATGAATTGCAAGCAACCCAGCATTGCGATTTCTTACAAAATGGGGAGGTCTCTCATCCAGCAGTGGATCAACCACTAGGGCTGTACAGTATGTGTGCATGTATGTTGAACTTCTTTGGTGCCGTACGTAGCCAACCGTGCTAACCGAAGGTGCACGCATATAGGGCATGGTTACTGTTCTCGCGAACTTTCACTCGCGAATGCCTCCACCCGTGGTGAGGATTCGGTCTACCAACGGTAGCTCACGACAATTCACCCACCCACTCACGCACTCACCCCACTCACTCACCCCACTGCAGGTCACGACAATTCACCCACCCACTCACGCACTCACCCACTCACTCACCCCACTGCAGGTCACAACATTTACCCACCCACTCAAGCACTCACCCCTCTCACTCATCCCACTGCAGGTCACGACAATTCACCCACCCACTCACGCACTCACCCACTCACTCACCCCACTGCAGCTCACAACATTCACCCACCCACTCATGCACTCACCCCACTCACTCATCCCACTGCAGGTCACAACATTCACCCACCCACTCACACACTCACCCCACTCACTCACCCCACTGCAGCTCACAGCATTTACCCACCCACTCACGCACTCACCCCACTCACTCATCCCACTGCAGGTCACAACATTCACCCACCCACTCACACACTCACCCCACTCACTCATCCCACTGCAGGTCACAACATTCACCCACCCACTCACGCACTCACCCACTCACTCACCCCACTGCAGGTCACAACATTCACCCACCCACTCACGCACTCACCCCACTCACTCATCCCACTGCAGGTCATAACAATTTACCCACTCACTCACCACACTCACTCACCACACTGCAGCTCACAACAATTCACCCACTCACTCACCACACTCACTCACCACACTGCAGCTCACAACAATTCACCCACTCACTCACCACACTGCGAGTCACCTCGCATCTCATTCTGCGTCTCTTCTCGCATCGCTCTCACGTTGGAACTCCGTCCCGCCGTCCCCCCCCCCCCCACCCCCCCCCCCCCCCCCCCCCCCCCCCCCCCCCCCCCCAAGCTCGAACAACAACCTTGAGCAATTCAACAGCCCCATTAACCCTTATAGATGGTGGCATGCAAACGCCCTGTTTCTTGCTCGCCGCTTGGCATATCGGGCCTTTGGACATGCGCTTTACAGCAACCGCAATTTAAGATACAAACACCCGGCCAGCGCCGGGGCTCGTGTTGGGCCGTATAATTCCCTGCTCGGGCAGAAGACTCCCCAAGGTTCCGTTGCGTTCCCTGGTCTTGTTTACCCAACGGTTAGGAGCAGCAGGACTCTGCAGCCTATGTTGACCGTGGACGTCCTCGCATCTGGACTATGAACGCAGAGGGTTTTAGAAGGAATCTACGACGTAAAAATAGGAATCATACCCGCCCCACGCCCCCACCCCCCAACCGGCACACACTGCTTCGCCAACTCCCACTGACCGGCGTGGTGAAGTATGGTCTCAAACAAACTCTGTTTGTCGGGGCTGTACGCTGTTATATGCCTTACGCACCGAACTGGAGCCTGATGCTTCATGATAACGTGAATAATAATTATATCTTGACTTAAAGCTTTCGTGACTGCAGGAATTCATAGTCTTCGGCCTTTGCGTAAAGTCAAATGAGATAGGTTCAAAGAAAATAATCAAAATTATTTTTTATAAAAAACCCAAGAATATAATAATAATAATAATGATATCTTTTGATTTAGAGCTTGCGTGACTACAGGGATTCATATTATTGGTTCTTTCGGTAAAGTCACGTAGAAGGGAAACAATAATAAAAATATGAAACAATAAAATTCTCACGATGTTTCCACTGTAACACAAGCAATCATCATCAGGTGTGAAAACCACAGCAAGAAATTTTTCAGGTTTTCACACCTGATGATGATTGCTTGTGTTGCAGTCGAAACGTCGTGAGAATTTTATTGTTTTATATTTTTATTATTTTATTGTTTCCCTTCTACGTGACTTTACCGAAAGAACCAAGAATAATAATAATAATGATATCGTTTCGTAACGCGCCTCCACACTGTGTTCGCTTCTCGCTCTCGTAGAGAGAGACAGAGAGAGGACGACTCAGAGGCGCGAGGGGGAGGAACCGCAGACGAGTGGCAGCGGGGAGTCAGCAGCAGCCACGCGGTAAGCCGGCACTACCAACAATTTCCCGATCTCTGCGGTCCTCTATGTATTCGGGTGTCATCGGCCAAAAATTGGAGCGCGCAGAGAAAACCCACGCGTGCGAGGGGGAAACACTCTATCCCATACGGACCGATCAGGTGGAGTCCACATTTTTTGCTGTACCGCCGTCACCGGACTAGCCAGGGTACGGCTCCTCCTCGATCCCCGCGGGAATGGAGATTCACACCATCTGTGTGCGATCCACCAATCCTCGCTGCCTCCACAGTGCTGGATTACAGACCACCTGCAGAGCCGCCACCGTCAGGGTCGTTAAACTGATGGTCAATATTGCATCAAAGGAACACCGTGGAAGAGGTTGAGACCAAAGAGTTCGGAGGTCACTACCGACCGAGAGCCATGACAGGAAAGGGTTGAAAGTTATTGGGGAGGCATTCTGTTCCGCGGTGGCGAGCTACAGTACATGCTCACAACTGCCGAATAGAATCAATGTCGATTGCGTTTCAGGTAGCTGCACTGCCAAACTGTGACCGAGGAAATATCTGGCGAGCATCTCGACCCGTGAATCGTTCCTGCATCGCGAGCCTCACGGCGACTTCGAATCGAGGAGGAAAATTGCAACTCTAAGAGCGGAGCGTGGAGGGTAACGCGTCCCCTTGTCAACAACGGCATCGAGTAGCAGTGGTCAGGAAGCGATGATCGTGTATGTGGCATTGACTGTGCTCACCTCTTGACCTTGACCCTGATATATCAGAAGATGTGAATATCACCGTGTGTCTACGTGTGTATATATATTACGAGCCAATGAGCGTTGTTACAGTTTTTTCACCGTTTCCCACAAAGGAAGGCTGATGTGGTGTGCAATCCCCACTCTCTCTCTCTCTCTCTCCTGCCCTCGTCCAGACACGACCTGTTTCCCAATCTGTGGTATTCGCTCATATTCCATCACTCTAGGATGTGCAGATGGCTGAGAGGCAGGACGCAGTTTCGTCGGTGTTTCAAGTCAAGTGACAACCTCTCAAAACGGGCTGCATTCGAACGCATTTGGAGTGGGGAGCGTCTCTTTGTTGCGGACTGATGTTGCGTCACTCATTCATGTTTCCACGTTCGGTTCTGGAGTTCTAGGCGGAATGACGGAGGTCCACTGTTCAATAAATCGATAGGGAGGTGGCCCGGTGGCACAGAGGTCACAGAAACTAGCCTGTACCTTTTGGAGACATAGGTTCGAATCCAGGCAACCGCCTGTGACTAAACCCTAGTCTAATTTCACGTGAGTTTATGGTCTCAACCCTGATTAACAATGACTGAACACACAACACACACAACACACACAACACACACAAAACACACACAACGCACACAACGCATACAACACACACAACACACACAACACACATGCACACACAAAACAACGCAGACAATTAGGTGGTGATATTAATTTGGCTAAATTCCGCTTAGGAGAATAAACATTACTCTTGGTGGCCGATCAGATGGAAACGTGGTGCCAACGCCACTGCAGTGCGGACCAGAGGTCAGTTAAATGAACGTTAGATGACGTTCATCAACTTTTGCATGTTCACTGAATCAGTGGTAGCGCTGTGATATCCACTTCATTTGGGCCGTTCTCTAACAAGCAGTGTGTTGTTATTCTTGGTTCTTTCGATAAAGTCACCACGTAGAAGGGAAACAATAAAATAATACAAATATTAAACAATACAATTCTAACGACGTATCGACTGCTACACAAGCAATCATCATCAGGTGTGAAAAGCGCAGCAAGAAAATTTGAAATTTGAAATTTTCTTGCTGTGGTTTTCACACCTGATGATGATTGCTAGTGTCGCAGTCGAAACGTCGTGAGAATTGTATTGTTTTATATTTTTATTATTTTATTGTTTCCCTTCTACGTGGTGACTTTACCGAAAGAACCAAGAATATGAATCACTGCAGTCACGAAAGCTTTAAATCAAAATTCAGTGTGTTGTTGTTGTTGTTGCTCCGCGCTTGCGAGAGATCTGACCGGATTCCTCATCTCATGATGGGACGCGCATAGCGTCACGACGAAATATCGAGGGAGCTGGAACACAAACAAAGGGGGAGGGGGTGAGGGAGGGCATCAGCGCCGATAAATAAACAGCGGCGCGCTGTACAGTATTGTTTCCGCTCGGTAAATACAGATCACAGGCGGGAGACAAATGTTGATCTTACGGCTTCGGTATCAACCCACCCGCTCGTGTGCCGCGTCCACTCAACATCAGTGCTACGGGGCCGTCCATAAATGACGTCACGCACCTAGGGGGGGGGAGGGGTCAGACATTTGTGACGATGTGTGACGAGAGAGGGGGGGGGGCGAGAAATGTGACGTCACATTAAAATGCGCAACTTTCAATAAATATAGACAATACGTTATGCTTAATTTAATATACTTTTTAATAAATGTTTTCTCCTACAACATCAGAGTGCAGCGGCACATTAAATACGCACTGCAATGACAATAGTTTAAAGCGATTTGAAGCATGTTTTATTTTGGGGGGGGGGGGGAGCAGAGCTTTGTGACGTCATATTCGAGGGAGGGGTATCTGACTTTTTATGACGCCGTATGACGAGGTGGGGGGGGGATCAAAAATCGTCCAAAATCGCGTGGCGTCATGTATGGACGGCCCCTACTCGCCAACATCACTTGCCCCGTAAGTCTGTTGGGGGCTATACGCGGGACCCGTGTCTGTGTGCGTGTCCGTGCGTGGTGTGTCAATATGCCGAGAGGGGAAGCCTGTTGGCACGACCTTATCTTCCGCGTCCTTGTGGATTTAGCCCAACTGACCCCCCGATTGGACGCGTCCGCGGTTGCTGTGCTTCGTGCCGTGCGTGTGTGATGGGTTCGTTGGTGCAGGGAATCGCGGCGCCTAACGCGAACCCTGCCGTGTTCCGTGTTGACCCTCGCAGGTGCTCGCTGACAGCACTTTGCCGCAGCAGTCTCCTAAGGCTGCTATGGGCGGATCTTTGTCGATACAAGAACGCGTGCGGGTTTTGCGTATGTGTACATAACTGGGTGAAACTGACACAAAGCAATATTACGGTGATATGCATGGTAATGATGATGATGATTTTTATTATCATCATCATCATCAGCAGCAGTATCGTTATCGTCGGACTCCTTCAACCCCTTTCCAATCCCGGCAGGCAGCAGCCGCGATGGCCTCGGCGCTCGTCGAGACGGGCCCCGTGGATGCGGCGCTCCTCTCGTTCGCCTTCAACCTCACGCCCTGCAACTCGAGCGGCCGCGACCTCGGCTCGGCCGCGGCCGGCTTCGGCGTCGCGACGGCCGCCGGCGGTGCCCGCGGCGGCTCGGGCGAGCGCTGCGTAGCCGGGCGGGGTGACCGCCCGGCCTCGTGCGGGAACTCAGCCGCGGGCGTCGTCGGCGTCGGTGACGACGACTCGGCCGCCGCCGCCGCCGCCGCTGCAGGCGGCAGCCGCCACGACCCCCTTCACGCCGCCAGCCTGGCCCTCTCGTGCCTCTACGCGGTGTTTCTATTCCCGGTGGGCGTCGTGGGCAACTCGCTCATCATGGCCGTGAACGTGCGCGCACGTGAGCGCGGCCGCCTGCGACGCAAGCTCAGCGTGCCCGATCTCTACTTCGTGAACCTGGCCGCCGCCGACCTCATCCTGGTGCTCGGCTCGCCCATCGAGGTGTTCAACGTGCACACGGGCTACTACGACGCGCCGCTGCTGTGCGCCGGCGTCGCGCTGTGCCTGCAGGTGAGCCTCTACAGCAGCGTCTTCTTCCTCACCTGGATGAGCGTCGACAGGTGCGTGGCGCTCTCGGCGTGCGGGGGCCGCGCGGGACGCGCCCCGATCCGCCGCTCGCAGACGGCGCGGGTGGCGTGCGCGCTGATTTGGGTCGCGTCGGCGCTCGCCACCTTCCTGCCGCTCGCCGCGTCGCAGCTGCGATGGCGTCAGGACCTGGACGCCAACGACGGCGGCGGCGGCGGCAACGAGAGCGCCAGCAGCGAGCCGAGGTTCTGCTTCGCCGAGAGTTCCGCGTCGCGCTGGCTCGAGGTGACCCTCGGCTTCGCGGTGCCCTTCGCAATCATGGCCGCGTGCTACGCGCTCATTGCTCGCGCCCTGCGCGGTGCCCGCGACCCAATCCTGCAGGGCGGGCGCCCCTCGCTGCCGCGCAGGAGGCACCGCAAGGCGCTGCGCATGATCGTCGCCGTCGTGGTCGTCTTCTTCGTGTGCTGGCTGCCCGAGAACGCCGTCGTGTTCGTGTCGCTCCTGGACGAGACGGGAGTGACGGCCACGGGTCGCGACCCGCGGTACGCGCGCTACTACCCGCTGCTGCGGCACGCCGTCAACCTCATGGCCTTCTCCAACAGCTGTCTCAACCCCGTGGTGTACGGCTTCCTCGGGGAGACCTTCCGGCACAAGCTGCGCGAGAGGAAGAAGCTGCTCGTGGACACGTGCTCGTCCAAGAGGAGGAGGATGGGCGCAGGAGGAGGAAGAAGAAGAGGTGGTGGGGGACACCCCGTCGGACACATCTCGCGCTCGGAGCGGCAACTGTACACTGTGCAGGCGCGTCAAGACCATCTTGGTCACCAGCAGCAGCAGCAGCATCATCAGCAGCTGAAACTCCAGCAGCAGCAATGTCTCGTAGCTCCATCGGAGACCCTGGGAGCACCCGCCGTCATCGCGATCCCGTTGCGAATCGGTGTCATGGATGTTGATAAAGGATAAGCGTCCCTCGAGAGGAGATGGCCAATGTCAGCTGCGCTCGGATGCGCCGCTTGCAATCGGAGCGTCACCATCGTCTGCGGCAATGACAGCGATGACCGTCGTCTATCCGGGCTTGACAGATGCTGCTGCTGCTACAAGCTGCTGCTGTTGGGCTCTTCTCTAGAGACGAAAGTGAACTGGTCGCTTCAAAATAAAGAGGGCTTCTAATGCTGCCATTTCTTTCCAGAAGGAGGCCAGTCGGCCGAAACGTCGAGATCTTCATTGATGCCGAGTGACAGTATTAGACGCCAGCTATTACTTTTTTTTATTTCGGCTGTTACCTAATTTACGAGTTCATTAGAGTGGCAATTTGATAATGTACTCAAAAGACACGCCGACTCAATCGTTTGAAGCGTATGAAAAAAACTATTATCTCGCGGATTGAATTTGTTAATTTATTCATTAATTCATTGATTCGCACGCGCGTAATGTCATGCATTATCTTGCCATGTGGGATGTTGTGCTCGCCCTATATGGGGATTCAGAAATCCCTATACACAGTCATCACCGATTACCTACCACCACCCCCCTCGTCAATGCATCGTTCCTATATTACGATCTTTATACAGCATGAGCACAACTCCTGTTAGTGTCCGCACACATGAATAACGTCAACGTTTAGTATATCGCTCTCGTGGATTTCCAGACCAGTGTTTATATATATGGCAGCATTTGCATAAGCAAACGAACGGTTTCGACATGTTGGGTTTCATCAGCAGTCAGTCGTGTTCATCAAGCACTGCTGTAACCAGGGCTGTAACAATTCAATGAATTGTCATGATTCGGGTGTTGATTCGACTTGAGAATCAATAATTGTGTTTTTTTAACAACACAGCATTGTGGTGGATTGTAGTAACGCCTCTAGTGGTCGCGGACTAACTGCATACAACATATACGAATATAAAATACTCTACTGTAATCAATTTGCACGTGTGGAATTTGATGGATTTATATTCAGCCTAAGAATATGGTTTCATCAATGCATGCTTACATCCTTATTCTTTCCCGCAAACAATAACAATGGCAATATTCTACGCAGGAGAGCATCCATCAGGCTAAACACCCTTTTTCTTTTTGCAAGGGTGTCGCTGCTACATTGGGCTGTTTGGCCCATTCCATTAGTAACGAGAGCGTGGCATCGTGTGGGAGGAAACTGGAGCACCGGGAGAAACCCCACTGCGCATATAGACCACGGGGTGACACGAAGCACAAACTATCGCCTGTCCACCTCCCCAGGCTAACGCCTACAACAGCTGGAAGGCGCTGGTGGTTCAACTCATGCGAGAACTATTACCAGGCTCACTAACCCCTGCTTAACCTGGTCGACAGCCGACGAGATCGTGTTGATTGTGGCTGAATTGATCACAGTCAATATCAATAAAACCATTGCTGGTCACTTAAATCCGACGTGTTATCTAAGTGAACCCGACGTCTCAAGCGACGAACACGTGCAAAGCTGATTTGAGTTTAAAATCCCAAAATAATTAAAACTTCCGTAGCTGTCAATAATGGTCGTTTTGGAGGGGTTACGCCATCGCATCGAATGCGGTGATGACGATGGTTGGTGTGAGTGTGTGCCTGTGTGTGTGGGCCTGTGTGTGTGTGTTCGTGCGTGTGTGTCGGTGTGTGTGTGGACCTGTGTGTGTTCGTGTGTGTGTGTCGGTGTGTGTGTGCCTGTGTGTGTGTTTGTGGGGAGCGGGAGTGTAGCGGTTAGCGCCCTGCGCTATGAACCCGTCAACAGCAGTGACGATTATCTGAACCGGTCCTGGGCCTCCCCTAGGTCGACTCAACCTCAAACGGGTACCTGGTGCGGTGTGTAAACATCGCCACTGGGGAGACAAAGGCGGTCGGGCGTGGTGCTAGCCGCCCACCCCCTCTTGTACCGTTCCGGCCTTCATAGGTGCTCGCGAACAGCACTTGCCCTTACAGTCTGTTAAGGCTATACGGGGGATCTTTGTCTTTGTGGCGGCGCACGCCTGTTATCCAGTGGCCAGGCATTGGCAGTACGGAAAGTGCGTTCGTGAACCCGTTTGACCCTCAGCCATGAGTCAGTCACGGTGGCGAGATGTTAACTCCCTTGCCTGGTGTGCAGGAGGTCGTAGGTTCGACCCTGACGCCTGTATATTTGGATTTTGGATGTTTTCCCCGTGGTCGTGTGGATTTTTCACCGGGGTCCTCTGGGTTTCCCTCCACATTTAGAAACACGCGTTCGGAGTATTTGGCTGCCGCTATAAATGTCCACGTGACAAGCCACTTGGCTGAGCTATCATTTGTGGCCAGGTCGCTTCTGCAAACTATCTATAAAGCTCGGTGGGCCTGACCTGGTAAAATATTTTTTTAAAAATAGTTTGAAATAGTTTAGTTTGTGCGTGGTACCCTCGTATGTGTTATGGAATAATCTCCAGGTGCCCTGATTTCCCCAAAACGCGTGTATTAAACGCTCCGAGTTTAAAACAAACAAGTAAATAATGAATTGCCCATACTTCCCAATGCAGCAAAAGGTAAAGGTGCAGCCACTGCAATTGCTTCGTCACGCCACTGCTGGCGAAGTGGCCTCGACTGGAGGTAATTCTATGGAGGGTGTTTGGCCCACTCTTCCACACTGCAAGGACATCTCGGAATGAGGTAGGTGTACCCACACTCTACCCCACCGCACGCGACCTGCCAATTGACTAACCGCGTTGTACCCATTTGTACTGCGAATCAGACAGAGACGGTGGGGGGGGGTTCAAGAAACTCGCTCCGTTGTTTCAACTGCCGTGCAGCGAGAGAGAATCAAAGTCCAGTTCGCTCACCATTGCAACCACGCCGGCATCCCCATACTGTACGCAGTACCCTCCGGCAGCAAATGAGCATCGATATTCAACGACACTCCTCTGCATAAAAAATGCATTGCACGATTTATATTATAATTGTTGTTATTATTATTATTAACTGTGAGTCGTCACCAAGACCGGAGGAATGGAAGCACTGCCCTTGATGTTGTAATTGCTGTTGTATTATGTAAAATAAATATAATGGACTGGCTTGGCAGTGATGCACAGGCGGAGATGATTTAAAAAAAAAACCTGCACATTTGTCATCAGCACTGCCTAATAACAGAGAGATGCATAACGATGGGGTGATGTTGTTGGCAGTGACCGTTATTCAGAGCGGAGAGATTGTGCAGACATTGGCTCACTCATGCCAATCAATCGCCCTGCTCTCTCTCTCTCTGCTCGACAGAAGGGAAATTGCTCAAACTCTAACCCAGGGTTTTCCAAACACAATTTCTCACGATTCTCCAACGTCCGCCTTTCAACGCTATACCAATCGTCTCTCTTCAAATCATAAATAAATAATTGTTTACATGCTATATGCACCCGATGATTGGTGAACAATAACTCCAAGTAATACACAGGGCTCTAATTAACATTAGGATAGAGATCGTGCGTGTGTGTGTGGACGATAGTGTAGCAGGTAGCGTGCTGCGCTACCAACCCGCCAACCCGAGTTCGATTCCCGCTTACGGCCACCAACACCGGTGATGATTATCTGAAATGATTCTGGGCCTCCCCTAGGTCGACTCAACCGTAAATTAGTAACTGGTGCGGTGTGAAAACATCAGCATTGGGGATACAAAGGTGTCCACGCATAGTTCTGGCTACAACACCCCTTCGTGCGCTGTTCCGATCTTAATAGGTGCTCGCTAACAGCACTTGCCCCAACAGCCTGTTCAAGGTGATAAGGGGGATCTCTGTCTGTCTACGCGTGCCAGCGGTCTGGGGGTTGAATCATTGCTCCCTACGTCACGCAGGGTGGACAGCAAACACCAAGCGTGTGTAGGGACCTCATTTGAATTTCATCATCAGCCAAATTTAATCCACTGCTGGATGAATGCCGCCCCCCCCATGCTGTTACAATTCTCTCACACACACGATTCTCTCAATCCACAATACGCGAGCTGATTTCATCGCTCCATCTTCCTCGGTGGCCGTCATCTCGGACGCGTTCCATTCCTTGCCCGCCGCTCCGTCATTATCCTTGACCATCAGCCATCGTCCCTTCTCGCCTTGAGCCTAGCCCTGCCCACAAGTCTGAATCGTCATTCTCCTGCGTGCGTTCTCTGATCTGCACGTGTTCACTTTGAAGCCACACTTCTCTGCGCAATTCTTCAGGTTTTTGTTCCATTTTTATTGTTTGTTTAGAGAGCATGCTCCTTCTGAACCATGTCTCAGCAGGCAGCATGACATGCCTTATAGTTTTATTGGACACTTTTGTCAAGGCGCATGGGAATTGTTACTTTTGTCGACGATCAAGTTCAGCTTTCAGAAAAGCACCCGCTGTGAGTTTGAAAGGAGGCATCTTTTTAGTGATGCCTCCTTTCATTCGCTGGAAGATGATTTATTTATTTTATTTAACAAAAAAGAAAATCTCCAAATTCGACTTCGTAAATCGCGGCTCCACTGACACGCGAGTGAATTAGTCATCGAGTGCGAGAAGGCACGAATCGGGCACAGGAGAAGCGGGAGGTCGGAAGGAAGGAAAGTTTGACAGATGAGTTAACATCACGCAACGTTCTACACAAATAGCGCAGCTCCCCCCCCCCCCCCCTCCACACGCCGAATGTCTCACTCGCCAGTACCAACTCCAACATCAAGGCTCGTTATTTTTGTTTGTTTGTTTAAACCTCAACGCAAAAAACAACGCAACGTGAGATGCGTTCGCATTTAGCTTCAGATTATATATACACACAGCGTTGTGTTTATACGCGTGTGCAGGGCGTGCAACTGCACCAGGGCATGGGCCACATGGACCCATGCACCGCGCTGTGAAGAGGAGGGAATTTGACGGGGGGAGGGGGGGGTGGGTGGACCCCCAATTAATTCCTTGGACCAGGGCCCCCGTGCCAACCCTGCTAGACCACTGGCTGCGTAATTCCAAATTCCAATGTATTACTAGTCTTCTTTAGAAAAACAAAAAGGTGGTTTAAATAACGTATATTTTTATTGGAAATCTCAATCATTAGAAACAACTGAAATGTTTACATATCAGGTGGTAGCACATCATGGCACCTTTATGCCAGTATCAAAGTATGAAAAATGAAAATAGTTGATACCCTTTCTGGCAATAAAACAGGTGTTAAGATGTTCAAACGCCAAAGAGATACATTTTTCAAGGAATTCAGTATGCATTAAACACACGTATTTGTACAGTTTCAAAGACAATGCATATATTATCAGTGTGTTTGTTTGCATGTTCGCCACAAATACGTGTGATTAATGGAGACGTATGGTGTTTGAACACCTTAACACCTGCTTTATTGCCAGAAAGGATAAAACCTATTCATATTTTTCAGGAGATCGCAATTTGTCCTCCAGCCTACAAAATAAAATGCACAATGGTCGCTGCTGCATTGGTGATGTCACCAGGTAAACTTGGTGTTACGTGTTGTTGTCATGTCATGATTTTTATTCAATCTCTGCTCTCCGTGTCGTGTCAATAACCATTCTGAATTCTCGCAGGTCATGGCCCAGTATGTGCGGGGATGGCTAGCGGAAGGAAACATCACAGAGCTACTTCTGAGATCATTTAAAAGTGGAGAAAATTGTTCGTCGCATGGCAGTCAACCCAATACTCTATTGTGTAATTCTCATAGCATGAATTTAGCCAATATCAGTCACACGCCAAATAATATGCTGGTGTTTTTTTTGTTCAGTCACCAAAGACCGAACTGTGCCCGTCAGCTCACTGCAACTTGAGAACCCGGTTTAATTGCTGGCAGCTGAAACCTAGACACAAACCAGACAATCTCAGCGGTGCAGTCTCAATGCCCTAACCTACGGGTCACCTGAACGAACTCCTAATAAGAGCGCCTAAAAAAAAACATTCTGCGCGAGGTCACAGACCGTCGGGCACATGGCGTGACGATGATGATGTAGATTATGACGATGACGATGATGGAATGTTTCCTTACCTCTGTGTGCCCCTGCCTAATTATGGGCAGCGTGTGCTGTGTGTGCTGTGTGCGTGAGATGGGATCGAGTGTGGCCGTAGGCCGTCTCTCGCACTAAACTCGCAGGCGTATTTAATTAACGAAGCGTGGCCATCACTTGAATGAAACTGCCTGCCATTCGCAGCGCCGCGTAAATGCGCGCACACTGGAAAGCGGGCAGTGTATACCCGCGTGTGTGTGTGTGTGCATACATATATAAACATTATAATGTGCGAAACCTGTGCCCGATTTCCCGATGGTCCAATTAAACGGGTGTTGCCGCTTGATGCCCGGTCTGCACGTGAGTGATGGACGGTTGATGTTTAACGAGACTTGGATCTCAAAGAGAGTGTCGTGCAGTGACTAGTGTGAGGAGAGGCGTGGGGAACTGCCCCCCTTGAGACCCCTGAAATGGATGCTTA